TGGGTGAAGAATGATTACATACCTTACGTTCCAATCAGCACTCCAACAAACACGCAATTGAAATAAAAAGATAAATTTAAATATATGCAATATTGTTCTTTGAAGTGGTAAAATGGATTTTATTGTCAGATCGGAAATATAGCGTATATTCATATGAGATGTTCAAAGTCTCGCCGATGTATGCTGCCAATCTTAGCAATTAGATAACTATTGCAATTATATTGTAAGAGATTAAGATACATTTTCTCAAACTAGACTAGTAAATTTCCTCATAGTCCAATATTCTCGCGATCTGAAGGATTAGGTGTTTAAATGAGTTGTATTGATAACAAATCATGTCTACTACATCATGCGTTAAGCTCCCATCGAGTTTTCTTAAAACACACAAACATGATGGGTGTTCAAGTTGGGGCAAGAGACAAAGCATGGGTTTGTAATTTGATGATGAACAGGTGATTGTCTAAGTGGAAGGGTTTTTAAACTATCATAATCTATCAATTGTGTTTCTAAATGTCATCAAGAACTTTCTTGAACCAACTAGTAGGTATGGTAGGAGGGAGGGGTCGAGGTCATAAGCCATGACTTGAGCATCAAGGACAAAGTGGTCATTTTCTTAGGTAGAGAAACATTCCTTGGGCATTAGAAGACAAGTAGAAAATCCAAAGAGTAGATGCGTGTCACCTAATTCTCCTATTGCATCACTAGACAACTACCTTGGTGTCTCTAATTACATTGCCATGGGCAAACTCAAACTCTCTCTCTTTCTAATCACGCGCTGCAACAACTCAGATAGCAAATTTAACCTGCTGAAGATCGACTTTACTGTTAATCTTGCTAATATAATACAAGGGTAGCATTAGAGGCGGAGCCAACAATTTGCGGTGGTAAAATATGACTAGAAATAATTCACTAGCTAATGGTCTTCATGTTCATTTATTCTTCTATGTGGCATTCTATGCATATCGGGTGATACTGTTTCACGACGTCACGGTCAATACTTTTATGTGTTCCAAAATCAATAGCTTATATTGCAACAATAGAGAGAGAGAGAGTTGAAAATTGTATTGGTGATATCCTGTAAGATCTGAGAGATTCCAAGGAATAGTTCAAGTAATTTATAATTCGTTTTTATTATCACTGGAACTATCACTTGGGATTAGGTTGCGAGAAATTTATCTCCTATAAATTTTTTAGTGATAGCGTGAATGATTTGCAGTTTATCGGATTAGGGAGGAAACTATTCAAAATGTGCGTAAGTTGGTGCGGAATTTATTATCATAAAAAATTAATATCACCATTAGTACCCTTTTGACTCCTCCAGCGGATCCAGGTGCCGTGTCACGCGCGAATGTCTCGTGGACCCTTCCCTCTCTTTGACCCATTTCCGCGCCCACACCGCCCTTGGTCAAACAAGTATGCCTCAGCCACCCCATTTCTCCACACACACGCGCGCACACACACACATACCCAAACACGGTGTATGTGTATTTAAACCACACGTCACTACAAGAAAAAAATAAATTAATTTGTGATAACAAAGTGTTATAATAAAAAAGTTATTTACTGTTTCAATTTTTTTTTTGGTGGCGGCACTGCGACGGTATTACGTCGTGATAATAAGTTGATATGGCGACAACAGTTCAACTCAAATAGTTTTTATAAAATTATTATCGGCATAAATTTTTTTTTTTTTTTCAAAACATAATTTTTGTGACAAACAAACAGTGCTGTCGTAAAAAAATTATCTTAAAATACCCTAATCTTGTAGTGCCTTTCTTAAAATCAATGAAAGTTTAAAAAATAAATTATAAAATACAATATTTAAGGAATAAAGATTAAAAAAAAAAAACCCACCATAGAATAGAAATTGATTTGCATAGAAAGTGGGGCCCTATAGCCACAAGTGAGCCGCCGTACGACCCACAGGGGATTAGACGGTTTGTATTCATTTAGACTGAAAATGAAGGTAATAGATATTTATTAACTTAAATACCCTTATCTAATCATTACTTTTTAGTTAATTAAGGAACTAGAGATGGCAGGTAAGCTTACTTAGCAATACAAAATTATATTACCGTGGACTTGCTTTTATTCCAGTAAACGATGCACATTTCCACCAAAGTCCTACGGTATGCTGACTTTGAGTAACATAAACGTTGAGTTTGTAACATGTATTATTATTTTGTCATGTTTAGTTGATTTGTGTTTGTTTAGTTCGGTTTATGTCCAGGGGATAATTTTGATTGGTATAGCAGGTCTTCTTATGTAAATTTACAAATTTTATTTTAATTTTGGGTTAGATTCGTGGATTGTGTTTAAATGTTAATGAATAAGATGTCAATGCCCCCAAAAGAAGAGTTTTATATTGAATTCTGTATGGGGGGATAATGACTAAGAAAGCTGTGATCCACTGAACTAGAGAAAATCAAAGCAAAGGAGGTCATTTTCCTAAGAGTTTTCAAGGATATGGAACTCATGGAACTGACCTAACTTGACTTTGAAATCTTTGATTCGGGCAAGTCAACGGTATATTGCTTGTTTTTAGTAATTTTTTTGATGTTACAGCTTTTTGAACTTCAATTTATTTTGGCATTATGAAGAAATTGTCTATTATTTGTCAAAAGTTTATGTGGAGTTGGGTTTCTAATTTACCTACTATCAAGTCTAAATCCGAAAGATTTTGAAATGAATTTTATACCTAATGAGAGTGGTATTGTGGTCCTCTCACAACGATGACAATTTAACGAGTTAAAGTGAATTTGTTAAAGGGGTTAAGAAATTGTTTGTTATCAGGCATGACCCGGCGTTTGATGTCACGCTCATCTCTTATTGAGTCCTCTTGATCCATCATGATAGTCATATAACAAAACAATTGAAAATTACGGACACATAATCAACATAAAAATTGGTGATGCCATAAGTTAACTATCAATCGTCGTTAAAAGATTCTAATTGAAAATTTTCAGGATACTTTCCTACAGGAAAAATTAGGCCACAAATAGTTGAATTAGTTCATATCTGTGTATTGAATTATCATGAAAAGGGCCAACAAAGAAAGTTATTTTAGTCAAGAAATAGAAAATTTTCATAGTAAGCAAAGGTTTCTGCTTGGTCAGTTTAAGTCAACAGATTGATTAATTCCAGGAGATAATAGTTTGGCTTATGTCATTTTTTGTGCTATTTCTTGTTTGTAGCACTTTAGCCTGATATGAAATGGTTTGACTTCTCTTGGCCATAGAGTTCAACTTTAGAATTTTTCTTGGTGAGAATACTTTTTGTTATACTTTCTTGCAGTTTATCATGGTTGAAAATTTTTAAGTTAAAGAGGGTTTTCTAAGAAAACTTGAGATGTAGAATTAGAAATTTTGGTATGGATTTAACAATTATTGAAAAAAAATAAAGCACAATTTCTTTTTTTTAAAAAAAGCCCCAACGACTGGCGTCGGTTGGCATCGGTTAATTCGACGGTAGAACTAGCAAAAAGGTGCAAACCACCACGTTCCGAGTGCAAGTTCCATCAGTTAAGATCTAATTTTTACCAATCATATGGTTAATGGTTAATTTCATATATTTGATTGTGACATAGTAAATATGAGTCTTAAAAAACGGTAATTAAGGCGATTGCTCCTTACAAAAAAGAATCAAGTATATTAGAATTTATAAACACCCAAAAGACTGAACATCATATATAGTAGATATAGTGCAATCAAATGACCCATGAAGAGCTGATTACTTTTGGGGTAAAAACGCATTTTGATACCCATTTTCTAGCCTCTTTGATGACCTTTAACTTTATGCCAGTGGCTTCACGATTCACCCTTTGCACTATATAGTGTGGTTTTATCAATTTTCATAATGGGAAACCATTTTAATTATGACCAAGATAATTGGGTTTCACGTTAAAAAGATTTGGTTTAACATGTTCGAATTTAGTCTTACACAATATGTAACAGATTCGTGTTGCGTCTAAGCGAATTCATGACAAAAAATATTTCATTCATGCTTGATTCGTTTATTAATACATGTCTAACTAATCGTATTATATCGGATTCGTATCGTATATAAATTATGTATAATCGGTATATAATCAAGTCATTTCGTTGATTTTTTATTTATTGACTTCACTCATACTTAATTTGTTTGTTAATTGTGTCAAGTTTGGTTCACTCGTTTACGAAACGAGTGGTTTAAGAAAAACTCAAACCCTCTAATTTCATATCTTATTAACGAGTCATGTTATATTTTGACACCCCATATTCGACAATTTCAATTCAAATTCTTATGTTATCCATACTTCATACAACAAAATAGCACAAAAATTCTCTAACATTATTGTTCATCATATCTCCCTCTTAGTTTCAAAAACGTATGACCACCGTTATCATAGTAATAATAACAGCTTTAGGGATACCACTTTGTAGTATATAGAAATAGAAACGTAGCCTATGCTTCACAATCATATTGACCCTTGAAAGTTATGTGTACGTGTGGTCCAGAAATTCCTATTCATAGGCGTAAAATATCTCAGCCGTTGGATCAAATCAAGCAAAAGTTACATTATTCTTCCTAAACTGTGAAATCGCACCCATATCAAAACTCCACCATCATACCCCACGTCCCTTTGTTCATAAGGAACAAATTTTCACAAAAATGAGAAAAAATAATTAAATAATAAATTATTAAAGTAGAAGAGAGGAATATTTTTTTTTATATAAAAGAAAATTCGGTTCAAAATACCCTTGTTTTGTCTAATCATCCATTTTCTAAAATGTCAACCAGATTCCGGTAGTTTCTACCGTCCGTACACCCAAACCGTTGCACATACATGTGTATATAACTATATATATAACACCAAGTAAGAGAATTCATTTTTCATACAAGGAAACTCATAGAGAACCCAAAACTGCAAGAAGTAAAGAAGAAGAAGAGGAAGAAGAGAGAGGGTAGAGAGAAGGACAGTTTATTTTTAAAGGGTAAGAGAAAACACAATCTCTGTGGGCATGGCAGATGAATTCAGGAGTGGTGTATGTGGAGGAAGTTGGTTCAACCCGTTGAGAACCACGTTCGGGTCATCGCCTTGTTCTTCTTCCATAGGAGAGATAGGAAGCTTTGGATGGTCATCAAGTGACTTGGTAGACATGAAAGTAATTAGGTCTTGTAATGAGTCTGGTCCAGTTTCTGATGGGTCTGTACTCTTTCAGGATATGCAAAAGTCTCAGCAGTCGAGCCCGATCGGCTGCGATGGCAACATCGCCTTGAATTCGACTATTGAGATGATGAGTATTGGCCTTTCATCATCAATAGCAGCAGACTGGAACCAGCCTTTACTGTAAGCAATTTTTTTTTTTGGGTCAAATATTTTATGTAACATGATCATTAAATTCTCCACATAGGAAAAAAAAAATTATTTTGGTTTCAATAATTGTTGAACTTTAGATAGGCTACTGGACCTCATGGTCCAGAGTTTCAGGGTGTTTTGAGACTTATATGCTTTATAATGATATGAAAAAGGAAGTAAATTTGATCAATCAAACTCTCTTTTTCTTCTTGTCATTTTGCAGTGGTGGTGGAAGAATAGAGAACAATTATCATCCCATGTCGCAAGAAGACCTAAATTCAAGCTTGAATTATCATGAAGAAACTGGGGAGGACTGCCCTCAGATCCAAAAGGCCTTTGAACCGATGAATGGGGGTTTTTCTTTAGACCAACAACAGCCCTTAAATTCCATCACAAGCCCTGTTGAAAATTCAGCAACTTGTCGAGGCTTATCTACAAGCTTTCCATTGAGTTCAACTTCATATGGTTACCCTTCAACTATGCTGCAAACAATATTTGATACAGATTCTCAACCACAAGAGTCTTTTTTTCGACAACCAGTCAATGAATTATTCATCTACAACAGATTTTCTGACAAATATGAATGATTTTTTGCCTTCTTTGCCTAAATTCTCTTCCTTGCTAAAGCCTTCTTTGCCAAAGCAGCAACTTTCTAGTCATTTGCAGTCCTCCAACACCACAAACTTTTGGAATAATGCCTCAGCTTCAGCTTTAAACGATATTCGGGCCAACCTTTTAGCTTCAACACAATCTCATCTTCTCACATCAACGTTTAACCTTAGTGCAAAGGTAATTATGAAGATCAATAGTAAACAAAAGTTGATTGTTTGGTATGTTATCACTGGGGTTTTGGAATTAAACTATTTAGTGTCTTAAAATTTCAGCTTCATAATGAAGACTTCCAAGAACCAGGCTCCGTGTCAACGAAAACTAGCAGTGAGCCTGCTTTCAAAAGACCGCGAATTGAAACACCGTCGCCATTACCAACTTTCAAGGTACGATAGATTCGATCAAGCTTTTGACTAAAAGGAGCTTTAATAACTTTTTTGTGCTAGTAAAATTATTATCTTTTTCAAAGAAATGGATGAAATCTTTCTAGCTTTGTTGTCAGGTCCGAAAAGAGAAGCTAGGGGACCGAATAACTGCTCTACAGCAATTGGTTTCACCTTTCGGAAAGGTAATTTTTTGGATTTTTCATCTACTTTTTGGAGTACTGTTCTTAGAGTAAACACCAATCATGTTCTTCTCTTGTAGACTGATACTGCATCGGTTCTCCATGAAGCTATAGAGTACATCAAGTTCCTCCATGATCAAGTTGGTGTATGTTCCAATTATATCTTCTCGTTCTCAACTTTTTGGATTAAAATTGAGTTCTAACAGAATTCAATATATAAAAATCTGTGCCTAATTTTGATTTTATTCGTGTCACGCTAATTTCAGGTTTTAAGTACACCATACATTAAAAATGGAGCTGCAGTTCAACGTCAACAGGTATGAGATTCACTTCTATACATTTTTTCGCTTGTAAAACTGCTTACACTAGAAGGACTTGAACTCTTATTTTATTTAAATATAAATTAAGTTTGGCTTTCATCTTCGTTTTGCCTATAATGTGAGAAATAATTGGTTCATTTTGCAGATTCCTGATAAAATGAAGGACCAAGAGGAGCCAAAGCAAGACTTAAGAAGCCGAGGGCTTTGCCTCGTGCCAATATCGAGCACTTTCCCAGTTGCCACCGAGACTACAGCTGATTTCTGGACACCAACATTCGGAGGAACATTCAGGTAGAAATGAGGGAGCTAAAGTAAATATAGCCATGGAACTCATTTTCTGCAACTATTCTTATACATGCCTAGCAAAACTGGGCATGACACCTTTAACTTATAAAGAAAATCAAAGAATGAAAGCCACATTGGTATGTTTTTCAAGCATTGAAGAAAAGAAAGACAAAGGGAAAGAGAGAGAGATAGAGAGAGAAAAAGGAAGTGACCCTCCAAGGAAGGACAGCCAAAGATGGGCCAGCTACAGGCAGAATGATGTAGGCTAGCAAATGATTTGGTTCCATTAAAGGATAATGTAGAGTTTTCAAATAACTTGTACTATATAGTTAGAGGTGGGTTAGGAACAAAGAAAAGGTTCTTAATTTAGCTGGAAGTGTATATTAGTTTAGGAGAATGTGATGTTGTTGTTGAGCTAAATTAAGGGGCTTTTGTTCTTGTTCCTAATACATGTAGGGTTGGCACCACCTTTTACTTTGGTTGAAGAGAAAACAAAGAATGAAAGAGATTATCATTGAATTTAAGAAAGAAGTGGGAGACTTAGTGTGTGGAGCTCATTTATTCGTCTAAACTTTAGACTTGTTTATTTGTATAGTGGAAGTCAGAGGGCGGCCCACTGTTCATGCTTTTAGGGTTCGTGTGTGTTTGTACACTTGCAACTTGATCTCCCATCTCCCTCACTCTAAATACATTTCACCATAGTCCTAACACGATCCCATCAAATTGAGGTGCTCTAGATGTATACACGATGTGTGACCTGAACACCAAGAGTATCAATGATTCTAGTATTAATTGTACACTAAAAATCCAAAGCTCACGACCCGTAAAGTGCTCCTCCTAAACGTGATCAAGCAATATGAGTTTGGGTGACCACACATTAGAAATAGAGAACGTTCCAATTGATCATGCATTACAAAGTAACAGATGGTTATTAGTCTATGTAGTTTCTATCCCTTTTCTAGGAAATGAGTCCACGGGACTGAATGAGTAAAAGATGTTCATTTGGTATTCATCCAAAAATGGTGGAATTTTCCCACGAGTCTGGTTTTCTGCCATTTTGGGAGAAAATCAGGTTCATCAATCCCTTCCTAATTCCATTTTTATTGATCGCATACAAAATCATAATATCTGGGACGCAGTTCATCAACCCTTTCTATAGACAAACGCTTATATTTCTTCGACTTTTTTCCCCTTGATCTCATATTTTGAAGCAGTTAGTATCATTAAATCAGAGGGAGAAAAGTGTTTGCAAACTTTGTTTGTTAAAATGCTTTACTATATTTGTCCATCATATTACATAACTGCCGATGAACCGTCTCAAGTCGTTGATTATATATGCATCTCCAAGGAAATGAATCACAAGGGAACAGAATAAATGGGGAAAAGGTCATTTGACCTCAACCCAAAACTTTATATAAAGTTTTCTTCAGAATCTGATTTTCTACAACCTCACGACAATTTTCTCCTGTGCCGGAATATGAATTGTGCTTATGAGTACTTTTTTTCTTCAATCTGTTTTTTAAGTGATTGTTTGAACAATTCGGCATACATACTTAAAAAGTCTTAGCTTTTGCGTGTGTGAACTCTTCTCCTTCTTTGCTTTGTCGGTACGCTTTATGTTTGTTTGTTGAACTCGTGAAGCATGTCCACAGTAATTGTTCTAGCAGAAGATACCACCAGCCATTTTCAGAAGGGTCTCATTTATTTCACATAAAAATAACTGTAAATAAAAGCAACCTGGCTTGAAACAATCATATATAAAGCTTAGAGAGTGTTGGGAGTTTTCAAATGGCTATTTGAGCTCAACCTTAGTTTAATTTAATCTGTGACACCTTTTTGTTGGGATTTCTCACGATTTAAATCCACTAACAAACACACACAATCGAAGAACAAATCAAGAATATAAAGCAATAAAAACAAGAAAGAACAAGACACAGATTTTACGTGGTTCGGCAATTTGCCTACGTCCACGAAGCTGCAGGGATTTCACTATTGAGAGAGTTGAATACAGAGAGCGGTTGTACCATGCACACATAACCCTAATCACCAAAACAGTTTATATGTCCTACGCACTGGGCTGTATAACGGGCCCAATTTCCTCGGGGGCGTTAACCCCCACAAGGCTTGTCCATGAGCACTACGGCTTGGGCCTATCGGCCCAAGCCTTCGCTCCATGGACTAAGCCTCAGAAAAATTTCCATTAATTATTTCGGGTCATCATCCGGATCACATATACAAACTAGACTCCATAAAAATAAACCAACACTTTTATCTTAGACCTCAACTTGAAGAATATAATTTTCAATCCTCATTCACACAAATTCCAAATACATAGATAATCAATTGACGAATCAAATAGAGAAGCTTTATATTGAATAATCCCGAGACAAGTGACAAGTCATAAAAAAGGTATGTTTAACAGTAAACATTTTTCTTGATTAGTATCTCTTGGCAACCAACTTTATAATCTTTTTGTGACTATCGAATTGATCAGGGTGATGGGTATAATATTTCCATACCTTTAAGCATCGGATCTGTACCCTCTTGCTCTTCAGTACTCTTGGAATTCAATTCTTATTTTTCCTAGAATATGGTGTAGTTTTAATAGAAAGAAGAAACATAAAGGGATACTAAAAGAAAAGTATATTGGCATCATTGAGATGTTCTTAAAGTGTATGTGACTCCCCAGCAGTTCCAATCTTACTTTTATCGCAGGGCTTGCTTTTCTTGTTTTGGCTAATCATGGCCAAGTCTGTATTTTTGTCTTCTGTGAGAAGTTTTTTCCTTAATAAAAGGGTTTTCTTTATGAACATTTGAATCTGATCTTCTTAGCTTTTTCTCAACAGAAAAAGCCACTGAAAGGTTTTTAATGTGCCAGTTCAGGTTTTTTCTTATGAGTGGTGGCAAGTCCTCCTCCTGAAGTTTTCCTCCCCAGGATTACATCTGTAATTTCAACCACAGAGATGAAATTCACTTTAACCCAAAAGCATCTTGTGTACACTTTTTTGCAAAGGCTCCCATGTGCAGATTCTTTTCTGAACATTTGCATAGACTAGAACTCTGCACAAGAGAATCTTAGAGCTGCCTAGCTAGGAGGAGCTAATGTCCACAAATAGTTCTATTTCCTTATTAACTTACCTTGGGTGCAAAGATTAAAATTTGTTTCAAAATGGTTAAAACGTTTGAAATATTTTTATTTTGGTTTCTAAAAAGACCAAAATAAATCAGTGATGGAATCAAAATTCTCATATTTTGAGGTGTTTTGTGATGTTTCTATGTATTTGTACAATTATTTTGGAATGTTGCATGGTATTTTAAAATACATTGGTATATTTCAACTAATATTTTGAAAATATAATTCTTAAATTTTTTATTTTTGCTACTTTTGTTTTTGAAACGGATCGAAACGTTTCCGTTTCTTAGGTGACCGAAACAATGCACAAAAACAAAATTTTGATAGTGTGTTACCGGATAATCAATTCACATAATGTGTGAAGCAAAAAATGCTAATTTATCTTTGGCCAAAGCTTTGCATATAAACTAACTAACTATATGTAACTTGCAGATCCTTCAATCGGGGAATGAAAACTCGAAGAGAAGCTCTCACATCAGATATCTTGTCTTGAATTACATTGTTTCCGAGTTCATCTGCTATGACAGTGCAGTTGTTTGCTAATAATGTTGTTTAACTTGTTTCCTAGGAAAAATGAGACGAATTTTACAACACAAAATGACCCACCATCTTGTTTTTTCATAGTCCTCATCCCATTATGCAAGTTTCAGTTTAGGTGCAAATTGAGGGAGTACCTAGCTATTCATGAACTTTGTGTTGCAGCAATAGACAGCTAGTTGAGAACTGTATATCAGTATGAACTCAAAACATTTAAGCATATGAATAAAGCTGACTGTTAAGCAAGTTAACTTTGACAATCGACATCAAGCATATTGTTTCTCCGGCTTGTGAGTTGTTCTACTGTTGAATTGTTCCAAGATTTGAGGAATATGCTAGGAAGGAAGCCAAGGGTAGTTGACATAATGTATTGTGATCAGTTCAAAGAAAAAAAACAAAGAATTTATGTATGGTCAAGTTGCTCAAGTATGAATAATCCTGATGCGTATGCTGCAAGGGAATAATTAAGCTGCTGATTTGAAATTGCATAAAGATCGATTCTGGTTTATGTGCGATCTCCAATTTTAATCACCCCAGATCAATATTCGCCTGTTAATGTTGTAAGTACTTGTTTCGGTGAAGAAGATGGTTAATTGGTGTATTTATCAGCTTCGGGATGTGATGAAAAAGGCCATCTTCACCTCAGGCTATGTTTAATGTCATGAGAAATGAATTTTATCGCATCAACATTGAACAGAAGTTCATGGATCAGCAGAGTAAAAAGAGGAACATAACCAAACTAATTTGAGAAAAGCATGGAGGAATTGATGAGGTAGAAACGCTATATGCTTCCTTTATTAGGACTAAGAACTCCCAATTTCGAAGAGATGATATGGAACATTTTTCTCCTGGAAATACTCTGACACTTCCTAGCAAGCTATGTATCAATGTCTTTTGAAGCTCAGCTGGTGGGGGGGAGTTTTTTTGACAATCTTCCTCTGCAGAAATAGGAGATTTTGGGCACGCTACCGAGATTTTGTTTGGCCCATGGACCTCAGCCAACATTTTTCGGCCCATGGACCTTGGCTTCTCTTGGACACACCAAATTTGTCGCGCATGAGCCCAAGCTCTTTGACACCTCTTCAGGCTCAAATCAGTTATCTCAAGCAAAATCCTTATACCTGTTGGATCAGCATTGAAAAATAATAGAGAGAATTATATTCAAATCTCCCTAGGATCACTTAGATATCTTGACGTTTAAAATATTAAGCACAGACCCCTTGAAATTTGTATGTGCATAACACTTAAACCTATGACGTCAATGTCCGTTAATATATCCGTTAATAAATTATATTCAAACCCCCTAAAATTTATAAGCGTATAATAGTTAAACTCCTCAAATTTAAAATGTTATCTTTAGGCTAAAAATATTCCAATAAAAAATAGAATATTAAATATTTTAAATTTTATAACCAATATTCATATTCTATTATGCTATTTATTGAAATAAAATAAAAATAAAAATTTAATTTTTTTCTTAAAAAATCATAATTATTATACTATTATACTATCTATTGGAATTTAATTTGGTCGTTTAAACGACAAAATTAAACTACAAAATTATCCCAATTAAAGCTAGAATATATTATTGTCATTATAGTTTGATCCGTTATTTAATTTTTTTAATTGTATTATAATAGATAGTATAATTGTATGTTAATTATAATTTTTTAAGAAAAATTAAATTTTTATTTTTGATTTTATTTTAATAAATAACATAATAGAACATGAATTTGGGTTGTAAGATTCATGTTTTATTATGAATGACTTAGTCCTCTTATTTAATTTTTTAGTTGTAATACAATAGATAGTATAATTGTATATTAATTATAATTTTTTTTAAAAAAATTATCTTTTTATTTTTTATTCTATTTCGATAAATGATACAATATTACATGAATTTTTATTTTAAAATTTAAAATATCTGATATTCTATCTTTGATTAGAATATTTTTAGTTTTAATATAACATTTTAAACTTGAGGGGTCTAACTATTACATATTTACAAATTTTTAAGGATTTAAATATAATTTACTAACAGATATATTAACGCACATTTAACGGCAAGAGTCTTAAGTGTTACGCGCATACAAATCTTAGGAAATCTCTGTATAATATTTCAAACGTCAAGGAATCTGAGTGATTAAGTGACAAACTTAGAGGGTAAGCGTAATTCTCCCAAAATAATAATATTGATGGCCTCCACAGCAATAGACCCAATAAATGGCACTGTTCTGCATCTTGACCAGCTTCTTCCCTCTCTCTTCCCCTCCCTCCCCCCGGCAAAAAAAAACCCGAGAGATGTCCCGTGCCTTCTTTATTTATGCACATCCATATACATAGCCACACACAAAGGTGTAAAATTTGATCAAAATCTGCAGTTCTTTAAGTTCATTCACTCTCAGTGGCAACCAAAACTCAGCACAACACCCCCTAGAAAAAGGACAGGTTCTTGGTTGCTCATTTGTAGAATACAAAGGGAATTTGAAGTTGGCAATAACTCGAAACAAAAATGTAAGAAATTTTTTTCATTGAAAGCGAACACTATGTATATTGAGACACACTAAGAAGGCGAAATAAAAACATTTATTTTAATAAGCACAAGTGCATATTTTGACTGAAACTAGGAACAGTAAGGAAACAAAACAATTGCTATTGTAGAATTCCATTATTGGAGATATGGTGAGTGTGCAAATTCAAGCAGTTCCCTTGAGCTTCTTTGCAATGCCAGCAATGTACTTCCCCTGGTGAAAAGCTTGTTCCAGTTCAAGCTCAGTAGGCTGTCTCGAGCCATCTCCAGCATAAGTTCCAGAACCATAGGGAGATCCACCCTTAATCTTCTCCATCTCAAACATGCCAGCTCCGAATGTGTAGCCAATAGGCACAAAAATCATACCGTGGTGAACAAGCTGAGTGATGGCCGTCAAGCTGTATATTTAATAAAAAAAAAAGGAGCAGCCCCAGTACACGAGATTAGAAGTACTACTTTCATTGTTATTTTGGTTTTAGCATATCAGAGTTCTCAAACACAACTTTCAGTTCATGTAGAGATTTGAGAGATAGGAACTCACGCAGTAGTCTCCTGGCCCCCTCCTTGAGATCCAGTGCTGTAGAAGAGGCCTGCTGGCTTGCCTGCTAGTGCCTGAGTTCTCCACTGACCTCCGGTTGAATCCAGAAATGCTTTAAATTGAGCAGCCATCATTCCAAATCTAGTGGGGAAACCAAACACAAATCCATCTGCCTCCGAAAGCTCATTGGGGGTAATGATTGGCACCTCACTCTTTGGAGCCGCACTCATCTTTCCAAGAATGTCTTCAGACAATGTCTCGGGCACCTGTTCCATTGTTTTATCATGTATACAGTTTCATGTAACCTGGTTAAATTTATCATAATCTGATATAATTTTTTGATTTACTTTTATTCGTAGATTTGTCAGAAAGAGAATTAGTGGTTGCGTGCCTGCCACAATTTTGCCTCGACTCCTTCAACAGATGCAGCCCCTTTCTGTATCTCTTGTGCCAGCCTCTCAACGTGTCCATACATCGAGTAGTAACTGTAACACCATAGGTTTTTCAACATTAATCCTTACCGACAGAAAAATGCATCAATTCAACTTTTTATAATGCAAAAAAAAAAATAATAATCACGATGTTGACAGGAACAATTGCCACATGAAGCCAGGACCTAAAAAGTCCAGTTGCATTTCACTATCAGAGTAAAGATGCAACACTTTATTAATCCATATTTTTTAAAAAGCTTTAGAAATTTGCCAGAACATCAAAGCTAAGCCAATATTACTCGAGACGATTGGATTTTGATCACAGATCGAAAAAGATTGTAATTTATTATCATAGCCCCCAAAATGAAGCCAGTACCTTATGAATCTGTAACAATTATTCAAACAAGCTCTCCAAATAAGCGTTCACATTATAAGAACTTAAACTACTAATAAAAATGTCAAGTCAATCCTTTTGACAGGTGAACAAAATGAGAAGAGCCTAAGAGTCAACTAAACCTAATTACAAAACAAATATTAATAGAAATACTATCCAAGAAAATGAATACCTTTGATTGAATATATGAAAAACAACGACAGAGTTTTCAGTAATAAAGCCACAACATTTCATTTAGTTGGGAGAAACAGGAATCAAAATCACTTTCTTCTTGATAGAATCTTCAGATTTGGAGATCAAACAGATACAATATTCAAGAAGCACATAGACCCGGATCAAATGTAGTGAAGTCGAACAAACCCATTATTTGAGTCTGGTTCAAATGTGGTATAGAGAATCCAAAAACAATATGATTCACGAAAACAGAGCACAACCATAGTAGAGAAGAGAACTCTCTCTACAAACACCATAGATACAGAGACTATTGCTTATACTTGCATTAAAAGAGAGAGAGAGAGAGAGTGATGCATACACAATGTAAACTTTAGTGGCCATTGGAGGAATCTTTTCTCTCGCTAAGGGGGTTGTTATGAAGAAGTGTTTATCTGGTGAATGAAATGTTAAACAGAGGATAGAGAGAAGGGGAGTGAAGCTCCCCTGTATTTATAGTGAAAAGTGCGTAGTCCTTTACATGTTAAACTTAGTTTTATATACGGGCAAATAACGTTATTAGTGGGGTCATTTTCAAAATAATCAAACATTACAAGTTGTTGATGTCACGCTGATCATCATTCATCGTAATAATACCCCACCTTTTCCCTCTGAATTTGTAAGAAGGTAAAATCCTTGTTATCCTCCTTGGATTCGGGGCGGGGCGGCCCAAGCTAATTTGGGGCATGGACAAAAATGTTATACGAGGTCGTATAAATATTTATTCAGTAATAATAGTAATATTAAAAACTTATTAACATATATTTATTTATAAATTATTTGTTTTGTCTTTTAAGACATAACATACTAATTCAAAGTTTACAAATAAAAATTGTATTAATCGAAGTCAAATACGGAGATCAAATATAATAATAAATACTATTTGTTATAAAAGAGAAACATAATTGAAAATTAGGTTGACTAGTAAAATAATTTTTTTTATTAATGTATATAAAATAGGAATTTACACAAGTTGAGTAGTCTTAAAATAAATGAGATATTGTTAGATATCATAGAGAAAAAGAGCAATTTTTAAATAAAAAATTTTAGTAAGACAACTATGGTTAATCAGTCTAAGATAGCTAGTGTATTATTTATACTCACTCTATTTTATAGTCATCATGTGTATTGTAACCAAAATTATTAAAAAATAACCTCAAATTTAACTTATACAAATATAAAATCATTATTCGTATCTATTATACGATAGACAATTGATTTTAATAAGAAGACTGCAAAGTGATAATACATATAATATAAATATTAATTGATTTTAACTTATACAAATATAAAATCATTATTCGTATCTATTATACGATAGACAATTGATTTTAATAAGAAGACTGCAAAGTGATAATACATATAATATAAATATCAGGTGAGATAAAAAAATAAACTGAACTTTAGGGCCCTAAATTTTTTTAAAAGAGGTTCTAAAAATTTTACAATAATTCTAGTTACACTTAATTTGAGGATTACGTACATTAGATAAATAGTAATTTTTGTTTAAACTTAGCATTCACTATTAATTCAATAATTAAAATATATTAAGTATTTAAATTATATTCTAAAATAATAATAATTTTTTTTTTTTTTTGGGCTCCAAATTTTTCTTCCAATTTGGGGATCTAGGCAATGACCTAAGTTGCCTAAAGGTTTGGCCGGCACTGCTTGGATTGCCCATTTATTAGCACTTTATTTACCATCTTATTATTTTAAAATGAAAGTGAAGAAAATGTAACAACCCCTTCATATTCTCATTGATTCTTGTTGAGAGAAAAGAAATTGTTTAATAAACATGTTTGGAATTCATATTTATCGGGTGAGAATCTCATTTTTATCCGATGTAAAATTTCCACGCATGTGATGCCCGACAAGTCTCTTTGTTCTTCTCGACATTATTAGTATACCAAAATTCTCCATCCTACAAAAAACCTACAACTCCTTCATACCCCTTCCCCTCTCGAAAAAGAAGAAAATATGCATCCCGTCTCAACTCAAAGACTTAAAAACTCTACGGCAATGAATCAATTGAAAAGTAACCAAATCGGTTCAAAAATTCCAAAATTGAATCCCATTTTAGTGTCGAAAACAAAATTAAAAAGTGAGAAAGAAGATTCATTATCGGTTTCAAATTGATTTTTATTTCTATTTTGAGTTCAAAGGAAAACAAAAAGAGAGATTGTCAGCGAGTAGAGACAGATGTAATTGTTAATTGACTTTGAATAGGGGTGCAACCATCGGATCTCTATCAAAACAACCCTGACTGCTGCCCCCTCCCCCCGAGTCCATTCTCCCAATGGCGACAATAAGAAATTGGAAAAAATAAAATAAAATGTCCATGTTTTATTTGACAATAGAGTCCAAAACAAAATTTGCAGCCTAGGTTAGACTTGATCAAACAACATTTAATATTGATATAAATTTCAAAAACTTATTACGCTAGGCTTACATCATCCTCCCATCAGCATATTAATAAAGAAAAAATAATAAGAGAAAGGTCAAAACTAAACTAATAAGAAGATTAGTAAATGTACATTAGACTAGTTGATTCTAGCTCTTGTGTTCACATAAAAGAACATAAGGTCCAAATACATAATGGCTCATCACCAGTACCCTTCAAGGAAGATGATCATCACTCACGAAAATTCCGAAGGCAATGGACACATGTAACTGGGAGGACTGCATATACAAAATATTATTTTTGATTAAATTATAATTTTTTTCAGAATTCATTTTTCTAACATTTTTTTATAGGCGGTAGACTTTTATAATCGAGAGTTTTAAGAAAATCGCTTAGCGTTCCAACCCGATTATAAAAATGCACTTCTCGTATTGAGACCACATAAATTTATAAAAAAGAAGGGGTTAGTTTAAGACGAATCATAAACGTAAATATTTTGAATTTAAATCTTATTAATAATATTTTTGATAATATTTTTAATAGTTTAACAGTATCAATAAATTATAGGTATTCAAGATTTAATTTACGATATTCAATGCAATTCTAACATGGAGAGATTAGGAAGGTACGTAGGTGCTTCGAGATCATTGACCCAGCCAAAATGGTAATAGTTGAGACAGTGATCCGGTACAGGCGGCAACAAACACTAAACTATTTAGCAGCACCCATTAAAATATTTAAGGTAAACCTTTGAATGAAGTTTCAACATTGTCCACTCCGACAAAAGAGGTGACAAAAATGGTTTAATATCAAGTTTGTTTTTTTTTTTTTGGCTTTTCTTCTATCTCTTTGACTGAACATAGCTTTTAAGTTGTCTAGAATCTAGATACAAAACCAAAGTATAACTATGAGGAAGCTTAGGATATAACATGAATGAATTGTAAATTTAAGTGATTAATCGAGGTGTGTACAAACTAATTCAAACACTCTTGACCGTTGAAGTAGTTCAAACACTAAAGTATGAAGAGGCATTACTTCTAAGTTTAACAAAGTCTTGGACCAATATTTTCTAGGTGAAGATGGCAGTAACATAATTTTTAGGAGTGATTCTATAGGTGAATTTGATCTCTAGTAATTTAGAGGTCTCGAGTTCAATTCTTTCTCATGCTCATTAAGCGTTAGTCACTCTTGTCTCGTTAGAAATATACTCTAACTCAACTCAAGTCATGGTAGCCAACTGTTGAATTCGAGAGAGTAATTGATACAAACTTGAACACCTTGTAAAAAAAAAAGAGTGGTTACTTATTTACTAATAAAATAGAAATTAAACTTGAAATGTTTTCTTTCGGTTCGAAAATGTAGAATTTAGGGACATATTTAAGATAGGAGTACTACTATTTGAACTTAAAAATTTAACTTAATTTGCTGACATAATGATATGACTTCATAGGAATCATTACATCAAAATTAAATTCTAATGTTTGATGAGATCTACATTAAATCCAAATGTTAGATAGTCACGTACACAGATGCTGCGGACTTCTCAAACCTATAATACATCAGACCTTGCGTAAGGAGCTTGTAATTTTGTAGAGTTATTCAACATAGAATTTTATATCCATTAAATTGATATGATCACCATGACATATTGGTTTCATCTTCAATGACGTTTTCATTGGAAGACTTAATAGATAATACAGAAAAGTTTATCTTAAACAATGTCAATCTATCTCAAAACTGGCCATAACAATCCGCATCATCGGATCATTAGGGCCAGGATAGCCGCCAAGAGAAAAGAAAATATTGAATATAACAATGACATCACGTCAATATTGTCACGTGATATCACAAATTAATAATAAATTAACATGTATCAAAAAAGAGGTTTACTTTGTTCACTTGTAAATTTATTATTAGATGGTGACACCACGTAATAATAATAACATAGTGTTCCCCGTTACACCCACTATTATACTGCCACGAGAGGGAGGTGAATGGTTTGAGTTCATCGAGCCAGCCTTAAGGGAGTATTTAATAGGTCATCCATGTATGAGGTTGATAATTGAGACCAGTAAACAAATTCATTTTTTTGAACTAATTAAAAAAATTATTCATATTATGTTCACTTAGTAACGAGTCGAGCCCAAATCAAACTCAAAACAAGTTGAACCCAAATAATTCAAATATTTTACATATAAAAAAGCTAATATTTTTACGAGATCGAATCAAGCCTTTTATGCTCGTTTAAACAATTATTCAAGTTCTACTCGTTTCTAAGCGATCCGAGCTTGAACCAAGCCCAAAAATAAAAATGAGTATAAAAAATTCTTCAAGTTCTATTTATTCTTTAAACTAGTAAAACTCGAAACAAACCCAAAATAAACCGAAGCATAATCGATTATAAGTAACTTGAGTTAATTATCGGTCCTATCCACAATGTAGTCTTCAATGGCTTTTAAATCAGGCCACAAAGATAATGGGCCAGCTTGTCAGGATGAAATGGGCTAAAACGCAGACTCCGACCCAATCCTTGAGGCTAATGGATATCCTGTGTATTTTGGGCTGACCCGCGAGCTAAGGACCTCGTCCTCAGTCATAGTGGTCGTTGATGACATCAGTAGTGAAAATAAAGATTTATTTCTAAGCAATTATTTTACTTGGTCATGTAACCTAGCATCCCGTGCGATACAAGAAATTTGTTTCCCCCGTTATCACCTGTTTCATCATTTTTTAATCCTCATATTACTAAAAATATTGTCCATTATTTAATTAATTTTTTAAAATTTAAAAAAGTGAAAATGGTGAAACGTTAAATTTGTAATAGTACAAAAAAATAGAAGGTGATGATGGAGAAATTGACACAAGATAAAAAGATCATTTAGTTTTTTTTTTTGGGAGTGAGATTTGAACTCTTGACCTTGACAAAATCTTCATAAGATAAGGAGTATCATTAGACTAAATGTCCATTAATTCATTTAGTCCAAATCCAACTCTGATCAAAAA